GCTCTCTACTTGACCGTATGCATTTGGGGAGTCCTCATGATTGCACCTCTGCTTACCTGACAGCAGCTCTCTGAAGTTCAAGTCCACAGTTACAGCTTCTTGATACCTGCACCTTTCCATTGCCCTAGCAGTCCTTGTCTCAACCTCCCGGAGTGCTTGGACGGTCACCATCATCATCTTGAGCTCCTCATAGAGGTACGGGACAACTAGTAAGTATTATTAACCCCTTGATGCCGACGTCACACAGGTCTGCGGCCTCACAGAACTGGGCTTTTTTCCATGGGGCCGCTGTGATAGCCTGGGGCCTCGCTGTGATAGCCTCTGATTGGCTATCACAGTGATCAGTCAAGGTGAAGCCCGCCCCCCTTGGTTTTTCTCTCTGAATTGGAGGAGAGAAATACATAGTATCTCTCTCTCTCCTTGAAGAGAGGGAAAAAAACAACTGTTTATAAAAATAAAAGATTTAAAAAATAAATAAAATTAAAAATAAAGACAAAATACATAGATAAAGGTTTAATCTAGTTCAGTGCCAGGGTTAGTGTTTTGGTCAGGGTCAAATGTCAAGGTCAGGGTCAAAGGTCAGGTTTTTTTTTTCTTTTAACCACTTTCCGTCCGGCCCATGTATATAAATGGCCGGACGGAGGCAGTGCAGGAGCGAGTTGCCGTTCATAAACGGCGCCCGCTATTTTAGCCTGTGCGCACTCCCTGGGAGCGTGTGGCACCGCGATCCGGTGCAAGAATGAAGCCAGAGAGAAGGAGAAATGATTGCTTTTACAGCCTTTATGGGTGTAAAAGCAATCAGTGTAAAAAAAAAATCTTCATCGCCCCCCACAAGTAGTGCAGTGTCACTATGGTGACACTGTACTGCTAGGGTGACAGTATGTTAAAAAAAACATAAATAACATAAAAAAAATAAAATAAAAATGTAAAACGTTTTTTGAAAAATTTTAATTTTTGGTTATAAACTAATTTGGGTTATTTTTTTTTTACTAAAAAGATAACTGAATACATTTTGCCCAATATTTATGAAGAAAGATTATTTATTTGCAAAATGTTATAAGAAAAACACTTTTTTTCAAAATTTTTGGACTTTCATTTATATAACAAAAAAAAAAAAAAACCCAGTGGTGAATAAATACCACCAAAATAAAGTTTTATCTGTCTCCAAAAAATGCTAAAAAAATTCATATGGGTACAGTGTTGCATAACCGCACAAATGTCATTCAAAGTGTGATAGCGCTGAAAGCTGAAGATTGGCCTGGACAGGAAGGGGGGTAAATGTGTCCGGACTGGAAGTGGTTAAACAGAGGCGGACTGACAACTCATGGGGCCCCCGGGCAATAGGGGGTCATGGGGCCCCTGTGTCCTTGCCCAAACTCAAAAAAGCCTATGAAAAAGGTATCAGGGGCATCTCATGGGGCCCCCTACTGACCCCGAACCCTCGGGCAGTGCCCGAGTTTCCAAATGGTCAGTCCGCCCCTTTATCAGTATCAGTTTGTTTTAGGTAAAACAACAAAAAAACAAAATGCACACTATTGTTTCCAGGCTGTAGTACAGGTACAAGCAGGGGCGGACTGATAACTCATGGGGCCCCCGGGCAATAGGGGATCATGGGGCCCCTGTGTCCTTGCCCATGCCCAAAAAACCTATGAAAAAGCCAATGAAAGGTACCAGGGGCATCTCATGGGGCCCCCTACTGACCCCGGGCCCTCGGGCATGCCCTAGTGCTCAAATGGTCAGTCCGCCCCTGGGTACAAGCAACAAACATACACATATATGGTATCGCTGCGATCATCAAGAGCTGGAAAATTTATTGTGGGTTATTCTTTGGTGGTAGGTTATGGTAGTAACAAGAAACACACGGCTAAATTAAAAAAATATTTGTTTACTATTTTTGGCTAATTTTCCTTTGATAATAAAAAAAAAATCAGGAGATATCCATTACCATTTACCACCATATGAAAGCCCAATTTGCCCTGAAAAAAACAAGGTATACAGTGAAGGAAATAAGTACAGTGAAAGAAATAAGTATTTGATCCCCTGAGATCAAATACTTATTTCCCTCATGAACATGCAAATCAGTCATCATTTGTTAGACATGCATTTCTTTTGAATTTTTTGTTGCTATTCTGTCTCGGTGTTACAATACACCTACCATTCGATTGTTAGACTGATCATTTCTTTGTGAGTGGGCAAACATTCAATATCAAATACTTATTTCCTTTACTGTAATTCACCTGGATATACAAAGCAGTTGTGATGATATGTACAGGTTTACTACCACATGTCAAAGTTGTAAAATTTTACTTGGGCTTTAAGATTTGTTTTACCCTTAGGCATGAAGGGGTTACGCTGGCTATACAGTAGTAGATTTTTGAATGAAAATTCATAAGGAAATTCGAACAAAAATTTGTATACTTTGTCTGAAAATTCTTCGTACATTCGACAGCTTAACAAATGTCATTGAACTGAACTTTACGGAATGAAAATAGCACACACTGTTGGAATAAATGGATAGCAGCACCAATATTTGTTCTATGCTTCTGTTAGAAATACATTCATTCCAGAAAAATTTTCCATCCTTCTCTTTCAAATGTTCTCATCACTACGGTTGAAAATGGACATTTTGATCCAACTAATGATTAGAAAATCAAACGAAAGTTCTTAAAACAAAAAAATGTAATCAAATTTCTCTTCGTGTGTAGCCAGCTTTAGTGAGATATTTCCCTTTAAACATCTTACACGTCCGCACTCCACAATGACACATCTTGGAAATCCATTCCCACTAGTTATAGACAGATGAAACAATTCCTGCAGGCTGAAGACCAGTGGGGAAACATCTAATTAAAGGATGAGGGTCCCGCAGAGCTGGGGTACATCATAATGACTTTCCAGGAATGAGAGACCTGCTTTCATCATTTCATCTCAGCCCATTGGCTGAGTGTTGTCAGAGAACACAGCACTCAGTTGAAGCTGTCCGTGGAGCACCACAGTCCCCAATGACAGGCGTACTAGAGAGGGAATGGCAGAGTCTATGTACTGCACTGTCACCTGTTACTTTCACTTCCACCCACTCTCTCTTCACTTTTGCTTTGTTTGTCATCTATGCAAACTGTCAATTTTTTCTCCAGGCCGTAAAAAACACCAATTGTCTTCATATCAAGCAGCTCTGGCTAACAAGTGAAATCAGTGTAGAATGTCAGCATCACCCAGAAGAAGGCATTGGGGGATGGTGGGTATGTGGTTAGCACTGTTCCCACATGGAAGAAAATTTTATTGAAATATATTTTAAAAATATTCTTCCCAAATATATTGACATATATTTGAAATACTACAATTTTGCCCGTATTCAATATATTTCAATAAATATATATGTATCTATCTATCCATTCAGTTGTATCTGACCCTTGGCGATTGCATGGACCGTCACTTGTAAGCGACTTTTTTCATGAATTCTCTTAGAAATTATTTTTACAGGGAAGGTTGCCAGGTCTTTCCCCAACCCCCACCATGCAGGAGATCCCGCATGGCCAGGGATGAAGCTAGGACAATTAAGACAGGAGCCAATTAACCTACCAGCATGTCTTTGGAGTGTGGGAGGAAACCGGAGTACCCAGAGGAAACCCACGCGAACACAGGGAGAACATGCAAACTCCATGCAGGAGGTACCATGGTTGGGAATTGAACCCATGTCCCAATTACTGCAAGGCAGAAGTGCTAACCACTAATATATATATATATATATATATATATATATATACTGCATGTTGAAATGTGTTTTTATTAGAAAATATATGAAAAATATTTTTAAAAATACATTTCAAATATACTGTATGTCTTTAAAAATACAAATCTACATTTTTGGAATGCATTTACAAATATATGTAAAAATATATGTTAAAATTACTTTTTTTATATGTTTAAAAAACAAAATCTGAGGAATACATTTTAAAAAATATATTTTTAAAAATATATTTTTTAAAAAAATATATTCTTCAGATTTTTTTTAACATGTCCATCCCCCACAGTTACTACCTTTTGTACCACTACCCCCTCCCTCCTAGATTGTAAGCTCCGAGGAGCAGGGCCTCCTATCCCTCTTGTATTGAACTGTATTGTTGCTGTATTGTCTCCCGTTATATTGTAAAGCGCTGAGCAAACTGTTGGTGCGATATAAATCCTGTATAATAATAATAATAATAAAAAAGTAATTTTAACATATATTTTTACATGTATTTGTAAATTCATTCCAAAACTTTAGATTTGTATATTTAAAGACATACACTATATTTGAAAATGTGTTTTAAAAAATATTTTTCAGATATTTTTTGTAATAATAACGCATTTCAACATACAGTATATATATATATATTTTTATATATATATATATATATATATATATATTTATTTATTTATTTATTGAAATATATTTTGAAATATACTGAATATGGCCAACATTGTAGTATTTCAAATATATATTATATACATATATATATATATTATTTTTTTTTTAAATATATATATATATTTAAATATATTTTGAAATATATTGAATATGGCCAAAATTGTTATATTTCAAATATATTTTTCTTCCATGTGGGAAGACCAACCCCTCCTGCACCACCATCATAAGGTTCCTGCGTTGGAGCCTACTGTCCTGGAAATGCATGCCCTCATACCTAATTAGTAAGTACGGGGTTTGTGGAGGAGGACGTCAACACAGAACTACCACAGGATGAGTAAAAATAATCATCTTTGCTTCTTGTGGCCCCAAGGGTGGTAACACACATGAAAGGCAATTGGGATGAAGGCGCCTGTCCACATTCATTGAACAGCAGACTGGGGGCGGGTCAGTGACCAAACTGGATTGCTAAACTTTAGCAAGAAACAGGTGAGGTCACCAGGCTGCCCTCTACTGGAGGTTCCTGGATCACAAGTCTGGCAGAATGACAACTCATTTGGCAGGTAAGACACCAACAACACAGCCCCTTCCAGCTCACCTGACGGAGCAGCCGGACAGGTCCGGCAAGTACGGCAGCCGCTTTGTCTGGATGATGGAATCGTACAAGCTGGGCTGGAGGTTTTGTGCCACCACATTGGCCATGATGACAGAGAACAGCATGGGGAGGATGTGCGATATCTGGCCGGTCAGCTCGAAGCAGATAACGGCGGTGGAGACGGTGTGGGTGACGGCTCCCGTAAGTGCGGCCGCTCCTGAAAGAGGAGAAATAAATGACTTGTAACAAAGTGAAAATATGATGAAAAATATAATAAATATCACTGTGAAGCAAAACTGTGTAAAGTGGGAATTCTGGGCTGAGGCAGAGGTTAGTGCATACTGCGTGTCAATGAACAGATTCAGAGATATGAGCAGCTGAAGTTACATGCAAATCTTAAGTCTAGCTTGGCTCCACCTCCTTTCAGCTTCTTTATTAGGCAGTGAAACACCCATCACATTAAAGAGTATGTCACCCCAACATTTCATATTCCTGATATGTGCCTGCACTGTCATGTAGTTCTAAAAAAGTATCCGGTTCTCCTTGTATTACATCCTTTGTGTGAAATACCTTGTGACCTTGCCAGTCCCTCTGCTGTCATATCTCAGACTGACCACACTAGGCATGACAGAACACCCATCTCAGTGTGATCAGTTTTCAGGCTGTCCCGGGAGCACAGCCTGCCTGTCCTCCAGCGGCCATGGTTGTTTTGCAAGGTGAGGGTTCACATACTGTATGCTTTAATAGTTCTGCAAATTCAGGTGGCTCAGCAATTGGTGCTCTAGGAAACTGGGTAACTGGCAGCAATTACATTCCATTGGTTGGTCCCACATGGCAAAGCCTACCTAAAAAACAGAATCCCTGGGCAGGTAGACTAAATCCTAGGGATGCACCAACATAACAGTGACATATATATATCAGCCAAAAATCGGCACAATTTCGATAGGAAAAAAGGTGCCAATAACGGTGCCAATCCAGGCAAAGTTGCTGCTCATTGACTTTCATGCAAAGACGCCCCCTAGTGACTTACATGCAAAATCGTGTCTTATAGACTTACATACAAAATCACGTCTCATAGACTTACATGCAAAGTCGTGTCCTCATTGAGTTTAATGCAAAATCTCCCTCTAGTGACTTCAATGCAAAATCCTGTCTCATAGACTTACATGCAAAGTCGTATCCTCACTGACTTTAATGCAAAATCGCCCCCTAGTGACTTCAATGCTAAATTGCGTCTCATAGACTTACATGCAAAGTCGTATCTGCATTGACTTTAATGCAAAATTGCCCCCTAGTGACTTCAATGCAAAATCGCGTCTCATAGACTTACATGCAAAGTCGTATCCACATTGACTTTAGTGCAAAATCGCCCCCTAGTGACTTCAATGCAAAATCGCGTCTCATAGACTTACATGCAAAGTCGTGTCCTCATTGACATTAATGCAAAATCTCCCCCTAGTGACTTCAATGCAAAATTGTGTCTCGTAGATTCTCATACACAATCGCATCCCCATTTTCTTCAATGCAAAAACACCCCCTAGTGACTTCAATGCAAAATTGCCAGCCGCATTTATGACATTTTCCTGAATTTTTGGTTTCGGCACCAGAATTTTCATTTTGGTGCATCACTACCTAAAACATTAAATACATGAAAAAAAGACATCTCTGTCTTTGGGACCTATCAGCTGACTGTCAGGGCAGGGGCCGAGGAACGGACAGGCAGGCCTAACAATGTAAGTGGCTGACGACAACCACCACCCACAGACCGAAGTCCCTCAGGGCGCGGAGTCTAAGTCCCAGGCTGCCCTTCACCAGGGCCCCTGATGGTGGGGATGGACTTGACGCAGCCAGGAACCAGGTCGCGGCTCCCGAGACACCTCAGCTGCGGTAATGGCCGCCGCCAATGGCGTGTAGCTGGTGGAAGAGACAAAAGAGTAGTCAGACAAGCCGGGGTCAACAACAACAGGACAAAACAGTACAGGACAGCAGACGAGAATCACAGGTCATGAGCCGGGTTCAGCAACAGAGGATCAGATCAAAGGAGAATACAAAGAATAGTCAAGTCACAAGCCGAATCAGATACCAGGAGAGTCACGAGAGTCAGAACAGAGTAATAGCAACACAAAGACACAAGTGCAAAGAGCATGTGTGGGCCACAGGCTTATATGTCATCAGCCACACCCCTCTGGGGGATGGACCTCAGAGACCTGAAGGCATAAAAGGATTCCCATCATGCACAGAAGAATCCAAGATGGACACCAGCACATGGAGTAACATAACCTCAGGGAAAAGGTAGGACCTTGACACTGACCAGGGGTGGACTGACAACTCATGGGGCCCCCAGGCAATAGGGGATCATGGGGCCCCTGTGTCCTTGCCCAAACTCAAAAAAGCCTATGAAAAAGGTACCAGGGGCATCTCATGGGGCCCCCTACTGACCCCGGGCCCTCGGGCAGTGCCCGAGTTTCCAAAAGGTCAGTCCGCCCCTGCAGCTGACACTTTGGTCTCCAAACTGCAGCCCTTCGGTTGTCTTTATCCGTCCCTTGGGGCATGTTTCCTCCTACTGGTACAAGACACTATTGCCCTCACTGACACCAACAATGGAGTATAATTCCTGCTACTCACATCAATAACTGGGGAACTATTCCTCCCACTGACACAGACAATAGGGAAACTATTCCTCCCACTGACACAGACAATAGGGAACTATTCCTCCCACTGACACAGACAATGGGGAACTATTCCTCCCACTGACACAGACAATGGGGAACTATTCCGCTCCTTGACATCACCAATGGGGCACTTTACCTCTCACTGACACCAACAATGAGGTACTATTCCTTCCACTGACACCAACAATGGGTTATTATTCCTCAGACTGATACCAAACATGGGTCACTATTCTTTCCACTGACACCAACGATGAGGCACCATTCCTCTCTCTGACACCTATGATGGGGGTATTCCTCCCACTTACACTAATAATGGGGCACTATTCCTCCCACTGATACCAACAATAGGGCACTATTTTTCCCACTGACACCAACGATAGAGTACTATTCCTCCCACTAATACTAATGATAGGGCACTATTCTTCCAACTGACACCAATGATGGGACACTATTCCTCCCACTGACACCAATGATGGAGCAATATTCTCCCAATTGACACCAATAATGGGGCACTATTCCTCCCACTGATACCGATGATGGGGCACTATTCCTCCCACTGACACCAATGATGGGGCACTATTCCTCCCACTGACACCAATGATGGGGCACTATTCCTCCCACTGACACCAATGATGGGGCACTATTCCTCCCACCGACACCAATGATGGGACACTATTCCTCCCACTAATACCAATGATGGGGCACTATTCCTCCTATTGATACCAATGATGGGACACTATTCCTCCCACTGACACCAATGATGGGGCACTATTCCTCCCACCGACACCAATGATGGGACACTATTCCTCCCACTAATACCAATGATGGGGCACTATTCCTCCCACTGATACCAATGATGGGGCACTATTCCTCCCACTGATACCAATGATGGGACACTATTCCTCCCACTGACACCAATGATGGGGCACTATTCCTCCCACTGACACCAATGATGGGGCACTATTCCTCCCACTGACACCAATGATAGGACACTATTCCTCCCACTTACACCAATGATGGGGCACTATTCCTCCCACTGACACCAATGATGGGACACTATTCCTCCCACTGACACCAATGATAGGACACTATTCCTCCCACTTACACCAATGATGGGGCACTATTCCTCCCACTGACACCAATGATGGGGCACTATTCCTCCCACTGATACCAATGATGGGGCACTATTCCCCCCACTGATACCAATGATGGAGCACTATTCCTCCCACTGATACCAATGATGGGGCACTATTCCCCCACTGATACCAATGATGGGAGCACTATTCCTCCCACTGATACCAATGATGGGACACTATTCCTCCCACTGATACCAATGATGGGACACTATTCCTCCCACTGATACCAATGATGGGGCACTATTCCTCCCACTGACACCAATGATGGGGCACTATTCCTCCCACTGACACCAATGATGGGGCACTATTCCTCCCACTGATACCAATGATGGGACACTATTCCTCCCACTGATACCAATGATGGGACACTATTCCTCCCACTGACACCAATGATGGGGTACTATTCCTCCCACTGACACCAATGATGGGGCACTATTCCTCCCACTTACACCAATGATGGGGCACTATTCTCCCCACTGACACCAATATTGCGGCACATATTCCTTCCACTGATACCAATGATGGGGCACTATTCCTCCCACTGATACCAATGATGGGGCACTATTCCTCCCACTGACACCAATGATGGGGCACTGTTCCTCCCACTGATACCAATGATGGGGCACTATTCCTCCCAGTGATACCAATGATGGGGCACTATTCCTCCCACTGACACCAATGATGGGGCACTATTCCTCCCACTGATACCAATGATGGAGCATTATTCTCCCAAATGACACCAATGATGTGGCACTATTCCTCCCACTGATACCAATGACGGGGCACTATTCCTCCCACTGACACCAATGATGTGGCACTATTCCTCCCACTGATACTTATGATGGGGCACTTTTCCTCCCACTGATACCAATGATGGGGCAATATTCTCCAAATGACACCAATAATGGGGCACTATTCCTCCCACTGACACAATGATGGGGCACTATTCCCCACTGACACCAATGATGTGGCACTATTCCTCCCACTGATACTTATGATGGGGCACTATTCCTCCCACTGACACCAAACATGCAGCACTTTTCCTTCCGCTGACACCAATGATGGGGAACTATTCCTCCCCCTACCAAAGGTTGTTTACTCCCACTGCCACCAGGACAATTTCTACTCCCAATGGTCACATATCCGCCCCTCTAAAGTCTGCAGGACAGTAAACTGGTTCTTTGTCTCTAAAGTGGAACGCCAATGCCTGAGAGTCAGGGGGACCTCATAAACAGGAAGTTTTTGTTTCCCAAAACATTTCTTCCTCTGGGGTTGTGGTATCAGGTGAAAAAAAAAACAAAAGCAGCCCAGCAACGTTGTTTTATTTAATCTTAGAGATTAAATAACCTTTCCCTGCGTTGCATAATAATTAGTCCCATCAGATGTTAATAAGTCATTCTTCTCCAATA